CCTGTGCCCTGCTGGAGGCAGTTGTTGTGCACTATCTGGGAAGGAGGGAGGTACCTAAAACATATTTAATATAATGAATTTCAGTCCTCCATTCTACCTATCCAAGTGAATTTTGATGTCTAAGTTTAGCTTCTAGAATACCTATATTCTCAAGACATAAACATGTTCATTCAGCAAATGATAGTTTAAGAAGACAGAGCCCAATAATTGTGCCACCACTGACCCAGTAGAACAGGCAGAACAGAATGACTGAGCCCCTGGACTGCCAGGCAGGCTAAACTCTGCCTACTGCAGCAACTTGAATTCAGCTGCTAGATTTTGCACTGAAGTGGCTGAGATGCCCTCAAAGATGTCTGCAGTAGCTCTCCTGTGGGGATGATACCCTTTAGCAAGGAGTGATAATAAACAGTAGGACGGTGCTAACACTTTAAGCTGCTGCAGCTGTCTGCTAAGTGAGTATGTGTCAACACCTTCAGACTGGAAGGTGAGAAAGTGAAATTATAGCTTTCAGTTACCCTAATTCTGCTTTTGCAATCTCTTTTATTAAATCCATTTCAGGGGTGATTAAGGGACTCAGACGGTTTGCTTGTGTGTTATGAATCCAAGAAAAGGAGCATGTTTCTGAAAGCTTGCATCCTTCTATAGGTTATCGTTGTAACTACGGCACCATATTTAGAATAAAAAATTACAGCAGCATAGTCTTATACACAAAAGTCCTAAAAACAGCTCAGCGTTTCAAACAAAAACATCTGACACTAAAAAAATAGAACACTGAATATGAGGAAGAAAATTAGGTACACAGTTTACAAAGATTTGTGTAGCATAAATATTCTTTTGATAATTACACAAATATAACCTCCTCAGAGTCAATAATAAGATCTAGTCCCTCAGCCTAGCAATGATTTGTGATTCTAGGATCACATTTTCTCTGTAACATTTTCATGTCCCTGTTACAGCTTGAAAGCTGTAGCTAGGGAAATTCATGGGCAATGTAAAAAAATAAAAATGGAAGATTTGTCACTGTATTGATGTAGTTGTGCTGATATAAACAGAGACTTGTTAGATACTATACAATCACTCAGAGTCTACTTGTGGTTTAATCTGAGACATTTTGTAAATTTGACAATGTTCTTTACAAATATTAGTTATGATGTTAATTTACATTTGGAGTCAGTACTGTGGTTCCTATAGAAAAAAATACTGTGAATAACAAAACTGATTTTGTGTACATCATGGATTCTTGATGATGTTGTGCAGACTGACATGTTGACTTCAGTGCAGAGAGCAGTATTCAGCTGAACACACACCTACACTTCTTGGTTCTGTTTGATAACAGATTCTCAACAGGAAAAGTGCCCTGACTGTTCCCCTTCTCCACCCTTCAAAAATCTCAAGTGATTTTAATTTTGGTCTTTTCAACTTCTTGACAACCACTGAGTGGACTATATTATAAGTTTGCTCAAGGTCTGGATGGCAAATAAATCTTTAAATGTTGTATGACAGTGAGAAATGATTAGGGAGCTGGGCAGAACTCTCCTGCAGATTGCCAGCTGGACAGCAGTATGCTTATTTACAATATGTATATATAATCTCCGGTCCAGGTCAGGTTCAGCCACAAAGCAGTCTTTAACATTAGAAATTTATGAGGAACTCAATTTTTTCAGAAACTATTACACATTTTTAACTGTATATGAAAGCCATGGCAGCATACAGTGTTGTAGGTAAGCACCTGAAGCAGTGCAACCGGCCATGAGTTGTAACACCCTTTTAAACTTCGCAGATGTGATCTTGGTTGACAAGAATTAGCATAGTGGGCCTTGAGACTTTTCATCCAGCCACTGGAAGTAAGCTCTTTCCTCCATTTTCTGGATACCAATATTCATCCCTGCTGATGACGCAATTGTTGATGGATGTTTGATAACTAATCCAGTCACCTCTTTTCAGAGACAGCGATCTCACGATCAAGGGTAGCACAGTAAAAAAAACACCACAACCCAAAACACTGTTTTTAGAACATAAACCAGACACCTTTTGTTTCACTGACGACCTTTACTAATTCTCACAAATGCTTTGTTTTTCTTTGTTCCCTTTCACAGAGACCTTACTTGTCCAGCCTCTACGCTGGAAAACACAATTCTAGAGAACGAAATTAAAAATCACACACTCCAATAACAATAAAGTACAGAAAATGTTTAAAACCACCACCTTGGCGGAGACAACAAAACCAAGCTCCCCCCACGACTCGAGCCGGGTCCGTCCAGAGCCAGCCGAGGGGCGGTCGCAGTCCCGGCCCCTCGAAGCCAGGTGCAGGTGGAGCTGGCGGCAGAGGCACCAAATCCTGCATTAGGGCGGAAAATCTGAGCTCGTTCCTGAGTGAACACCCTCCGAAAACGCCCAGGGAAGGCGCAGCGCACGCCACCGCCCCAGGCCGTGCTGGCGGGCGGGGGCCGGCGGGGCTCTGCGCTCCGCGGCCGCAGGGCGGGTGCCCTGGACGGCAGCCGGGAGCCAGTTCCTGCCCTCGCGGTGTCGTCTGAGGAGGTGGGTGGATTTTTGGAGGGAAGAAGAAACCGCCAGCCTGGAGGCGGGGGAAGGGGCCGGGGACGTGATCCTCACCGGCCCCAGCGGCGGAGGCAGCGGGAGCCGCCAGCGCTGGCAGCGCCGCGGCATGGAAAGGGGCCGAAGCCCCGCGGGCCGCCGAGTGAGAGGGGCCGGAGGAGGGACGTGGGGCAGCGCTGCCGGCCTGGCCCGGCCCGGCCCGGCCCGGGCCCGGGGGTCTGGGGGCGGTGGTCTCCGCTCTCGGGGCGGGGGCCGCGTGCGGCGATAGGACGGAACCGGGGAGAGGGTTTAACGGGACAGGCGGAACGGGGGCCGCGCTGGGGCCCGGGGGAGCGACCGCGGTGAGCGGCGCGGGGGAAGCGGCACAGCCCCCGCGCCTTCGGGAGGGCGCCGGCCGGAGCCGCTGGGCACGCCCGCGGCTCCCCCCGCTCGCCGAGCCCGGGCCAATGCTCAGGTAGCCGGAGGAGCCCGGGGGGGCGCAGCTGGTGCGGCGCGATGGCCCCAGCGCCGAGACGCCCTAATTGTCGGCGGGGCCGCAGCGGCCGCCTGCTGCCGCTGTCGGGGCGAAGCGGCGTCTGTGCGGGGGGAGGCCTGAGGGAGGGGCGCGGGCGGGGCGTGGGGTGCGGTGGTCTGATCGCGAACGGCTCCGGCTACGTAGACTGGGGGAGGGAGCCGCCTGTGAGCGGGGCAAACCCGCGTGAGAGACAAAAGCCCGGCACGGCCTCACTGCCGCCGGAGGGGTCTTTTGTTGCCGCTTTTTCGTCGAGGCTTGTGTGCTTCCCGCCGCACCCGCCCAGTCGCACCGCTGGATACGGCCAGGGCGGCAATCGCGAGCAGGCGGCGGCCTCCTCCCGGCTGGGAGAGCGAACGGCTCCTCGGCCCCGACCTCCACCAGTTGATCAGAGTTCGGCCGGGCTGCGCCGGGGAGCGGCCCCACCGCCCCCGTCGGCTGGGGCTGCCCGGGCAGCGCTGCCCCGTCCTCGCTCCCTCCGGCAGCGTGTAGCGAAGTAGGAGGGAGCGGACACCTCCCGCCTCTCCCCGCCTGCCCTCTCCTCCCCGCGGCTGGGGCTCTGGATAGGAGGAGCCGGAGGAAGAGGAAGATGACGAGCGGGTGCAATTAGCCTAACAAGGGACGGGCGGTGGAGGCGGCGGCCCCTTGCCGAGGACTGACACATCTACTCTCTCTCCTCCTTCAGCCATGAAGGCAGAAGCCGGGGAGCGCAGCTGAAGCCCAGGGTCGTTCCGGCGCTCTTCCCTATGGCAACCGCGTGAAGGGGCCGAGCCCCCCTCCCCCGGCGGTGGGGCTGGGCTGGCCGAGCCTCGCCTGCTGTGTGCGAGCGGCTCTGGCGTTGACTCCCTCCCTCCTGTCCGTTCCCTTCCCCGATGTGGGCTCCAGAGGATTTGCGCCTCCTTTGTAACCAGGAATGAAATAATGGCGACCCGGTGGGCAGCGGGGCCACCCGGCGGAGATGGAGACAACGAGCCCCCCCCAGGCGGCGGCAGCGGCGCCGGCGGCCAGGTAGGAGCGGCGGGGGCGGGCGGGGCGCGGGCCCGGCCGGGCGGCCGCCTCCCGCCGCGGGGAACGGCTTGGCTGGAGCGGGCTTAATGGCCGCCCCCTCTCTCCCTCCCTCTCTTTCTCTCTCCCTCTCCCTCCCTCCCGCCCGCTCTTCCTGCCCGCCCGCCCCGGAGTTGCTGGGAGTTGGACGCTGGGAGTGGTGCGGATCCCCGGCAGCGGAGGGGAGGCAGCTGCCCGGCCGAGCGCTCTCGGGGCGCCGCTCCGGGGCCGGGCGGCGGTGGCGCCTCCACTGCCTCACGGGCCGGGCGGTGGCTCCGCTTCCCGCCCCGCGGAGCCGCCGCCGCCCTCGCCCTCGGGACGGCGGTTTGCCCGGGGTCGCCCCTTGAGCCCCTCGCTCCCCACCCGGCCCCTCGGTCAGATCGCGGCGTGTCCACCGCACGCCCGACCTGCTCGCCCTGTCCCGATTCCTGTGCTCCGTCCCCGAGGGACAGGAGCACTTCGCTGGGCGGCACCGGGGGTACGGCCTCGTCCCTGTCGCACAGATCTAATGGGCTGATTTTTTAGTAAAAATAAGGGTCCAGTCTCTACCTTCTTGTACCCAGTACTTGCCACCCTCCTGCCTGTCCGTAACGGCTTACATTAAACGTATTTCTGTTCGTAGCATTTGTTGCTGCAACTCGTCGTCTGTTTAGTTCAGAAACTTCATAGTATGCCCTATGGTGGCACCATTGCATGTTTTGACTCGCAAGACAAAGTTTTTAACGCAGAACCATATCTGATGCTTCCTTCTGTGCTCCCTCTTAATAGTATAAGAGTCTGTGGAACAACTGCAACTTTGGATCCAACAAAATGCATGTAAGAGTTTCAATAGGCTTGTCCTAGGATCTGTCTTAAACTTTATTTACAAAGACAAACTTGCTTTTGTATTGCTGTGAGTTAGGGCACGTTGTGCTAAATTCAGAAAGCAGATTTGAATCTGCATAGGGCTGTGAAATATACACCCCTTTTGTTTGCTGAAATTGAAACACGGTAGAGTGATTTTTAAACCTGCAGAACTTTAGTTTTAAAGTATGAGTGGTTTTTTGTGAGTTGTGAGTTTTTGTTTTGTGTGTTGTGTTTTGGTTTGGTTTTTTTCCCTTTGGACAGTGAGTTTTAGTTTATTACTATCCTCAGTTCACCCTTTTGCCTTGGTTTAAAAGTGGCACATATGGTATTGTAAGATTTTCCTTTCTACTGTCACCTCATTTAAGAGATTCACATAGTCTCTTTAAGCAGGTGGGTTAGGTGAGGACAAAATTGGAGTCCTAAGTAAGGACACAGAAAATGTTAAGACTTTGTGATAAAATGTGGTTGAAAACATATGTTATGTTTGGAGAACCTGTCCTTCAATACTGTTCATATAGTCTGGAAAGAGGGAGGACACCACATGTCTAAGGGTAAAAATTAAAATCTGCTCTTTAATTCTGTCGTATTTAAACTGCTGGTCTTTTGGCACTGGCCCTTGTCATAATCCACCTATCCCTGCTGTGGTAAGCCCTAACAAGGTCTGTGGCACTTTCGGAGCTCATGATGTTAAAGCTGTCTAATTGGGGACTGCTAATAGGTGTGGAATTGCAAAATGGACTGCTCTGCCTTTTGTATTACACTGATACTTACGTGGTACTTACACTTACATGTTGCAGTTAAAATGTAACTGCTAGAAAACATACACTTAGGCTGGTGATTGCCTTAATCACGGCAGGCCTGATGTAATCTTTGCTTGAACTTAGTGCTGTGAATGTCTGATCCAAGGTTGTGTTGCTTTCTCAGTTACCTCAGTATAATATTGCTGCATGTCTTAAAGTTCAGTTTATTTTCTTACAACTTTTTTTTTTCATAGATTCCTGTAAAATACCAAGAGAGAGGGAGAGTGTGATTTGGCATCTGCTGTCTCAGTTCAGTTGATGGAATAGTTGCTGTGTATAGTGTTTGATATGCTATATGTGAACATATCCCTTTAACTGAAGTCTTACTTGTTTGTATTGAACAGTAAGAATGGCTTTTCTGTTTAAAAAACCAGAAAACACCTTTAATGAAAGAGAGTTACTATAAAAATGGAATTTTAAGTTTTCAGAAAAATTGCTGCAGTTGCAGGGTTTGACATGCAAGATATTAGCAACTTTGGAAAATGATTTATGGTGTTGGGACACTGTATCCCATATGGTGTTTGCATTGTAATGCAGTAATTAACTCATTTGATTTTTAGCTGTAGACCTGTACACATGGCAGGTTGTCATGAGGAACTCTCCAAGCATAGCGCTTGTTCATCACAGTCAAGAGAATCCCAACAAATTACGATTTTCAACCAGTTAAGGTTTTGGAAATGCATAACTGTAATCATCACGGTTTGAGCAAGAACTGAAAGACTTGTCTGGCTTCAAGATCAGTGGTCAGACAAAGAAAGGGCATGTCTGACTGAGAAGTGGTGCTTCTGTGTATCTATCTTTGTGTACACAGGTGGGAGAACAGAGGACATGCAGTTTGAGTCTTCTGGTACTGCATATGTTGGTTGATAATTGTGTTTTGTTTTGGACGCCTGTCTAATCTGATATTAAGTTCCATTTGGTCATGCTTTGCCAAGGTTTCTATTTTTATTTTCGCTTAATTTTTTTTCGTTTTCCCTTTGACACTGTACCTGGTGGTCTTTCTCTCCTCAGAGCCCCTTCACTGAAACGATTGTTGAGAACAAAGATTGCGCGTTCAGGCTTGCAGGCTCCTGTCTGAACATGGAGCGCTTGCTCAAAGGGACAGGTCACGTATTCTGGGCTCTGGGGAGAGCTGGCAGAGAGGGCCAGGGACTCTCAGGGCTGTTTGCCATTCTGTTTGAAATCTGACACACGTTTACAAATGGAAGAATTGCTGAGCTTATGTTCATAAGGACAGATAAGCGAGAGCGTGTTCCTTCTGGCTTTTAGATTAATAGGCAAATGCTATCTCTGTTTCGTCAGGTTGTAGCGGTGTTTTGCTGGAGTGTTTAAGCCCTGCTGAGGTACACGCAGTACTGCTTCAGTCACAACATCCCATCTACAGGCCTGTCCAGATTTGAGGCTGGAACTGGCTTCTTTGTTAGTGTAAATTTAATTTCCCGTCCTTTGCCTAGAAAGGCACAACAAAAACTGCCCTTTTCCCCCCCCTTTTTTTTCTTTTCTATTCCCACTGTTTTGCATTTTAATAATTGCCAGATCTGTTTGTGGTATAGTTTACTGTTCTGAATGTTAAATGCAGGATGAAAAAAAATAATAACCAAAGCATATTTAGCTTTAAAAGTCAGATTTTAATTCTTAGTAATACAGTTTCCTCAATTTATGAATACTAAAAATGCTTTAGCAAATAATTTTATTAAGACTGATATTTTTCTCTGGGAATTCATTAGAGCACATATCCATTTATATATTTATTGTAAATTTCTAATACTTTACTGCAAATTTGAAATTAGAGTGTGAGGTTTTAGGTTTGTGGGATTTTTTTTTTGTTTTGCTTAACAGCTGAGTTGTTAGGAATAGTGAACTGTCTTTGGAGATTCCCAAGAGCTTCTGCATTTGGCAGTAATTAGGAATACATTTCCAAAGACTTCTGTAAAAGAAAAGTCAGAGGTTATTTAGTACTTGCTTTGTAATCACAATTGCTCAGTTTCAGAGAAGGGAAAGAAAACCCCACAATATTCTCACTCCTACACCTTATCACAGAGAGCACAACTGCGTAAACTCAAGAGAAGCATGTGCTGGGTCAGGAACCAGAGAAGGGCACTGATGACGCTATAAATAGAAAATCATTTGCGTTCTTGCTAACAATAATTAATAGATCGTTTACTATTTTAACAACCTGGTCGGGATGACATTGCTAAACTTCTAGTGGTGACTCCCAGGTGTTACAACTCTCTAGCGGCAGAAGGACTGAAGCTGTATTTTGATCCTGCATATCAGTCTTCATGTAATTATGCCTGTAAACATGTAAACTGTTCTGAAACTCTTTGTTGTTGGTGTTGGTGCTTTTGCTATGCCTGGTGCTTACACGCTGGACGGTTTAGCCGTAATGTTGAAGTTGTCAGAATTGGAGAAATGCAGTTGTAAGATTTTATATGTCAAATAGTACACAGTAATGGTTGTTAGGAGTGTACATTACTTAGGGGGAAAGAGAATTTTGCATAAACCTGTTAAGGGAGAATAAATTTAGTATAAATACCAGTCTTACCAGGAGCTGTGATTGCAGCTATTCAATAGGCTGGAGTCAAATCCTGTTTAATCATGCAAGCATAATGCTGACTTCTGCTCTCATTTATGTCACAGTAAGCATAAGATAATTTGACAAAACATGGATCTCTTCCATGAGGAAATGTTACATATTTGATAAGTGACAATATAAAGCAGAAAACACCTTCCTTTGCTTGAAGGAACTATCTGCTTTCAAATATAACTATGTTTGATGTTTTTTTTCAAAGTGACTTTTTGCTTCCCAATAATACAGCTGTGTTGATCATACCACTTTGATAATTGTCTGAAAAAAAATATTTTTGCAAGACAAGCGGAGTGGACTGAAGAGTGTCTTGAACTGTGTCCATATGAAATAATTGCATATATTTCATGCAGTATGCACATTACAAGAACGAACTTTTTTCTTCAGCAGGTTTGACAAACATCAAATCACTGAGTTGACTTTTTTCTCTGTATAAGCTATTTTTAATGATTGCTGTTTTTAAAATGTGAAAATAATGTCTGCCACTTCAGATGTACTATCTCATGCCCTTCATATTTACTTACATGAAAAAATAATTGAGAGAACAGTTGGGGAATAGGAGATATTTAGTCTGATGCAGTGTATGCATTTGTGATCTTCTCCTTCTTGTACCTTTGAAAACATCTTACTAGAAGTGGATGATCAAATCATAGCTCAGCTGAATAGTATGTGCTCTGAAAAGAGTGAAATAAAAGCTGGTCTTTTTTTTCCTTTTTTCTTTTTTTTTTTAA